GTGAAGAAATGGGCAAAAGACATGAATAGACACTTCTCCAAAGAAGACATCCAGATGGCCAACTGACATACTAAAAAATGCTCAACATCACTCATCATCAGGTAAATACAAATCAAAACCACAATGAGATACCACCTCACACCTGTCAGAATGGCTAACATTAACAACTCAGGCAACAACAGATGTTGGCGAGGATGCGGAGAAGGAGGATCTCTCTTGCACTACTGGTGGGAATGCAAACTGGGGCAGCCACTCTGGAAAACAGTATGGAGGTTCCTCAAGAAACTAAAAATAGAGTTACCCTATGGCCCAGCTATTGCACTACTAGGCATTTATCCAAGGGATACAGGGATGCTGTTTGGAAGGGGCACATGCACCCCCATGTTTATAGCAGCACTATCAACAATAGCCAAAGTATGGAAAGAGCCCAAATGTCCATCAACTGATGAATGGATAAAGAAGATGTGGTATATATATACAATGGAGTATTACTCGGCAATCAAAAAGAATGAAATCTTGCCATCTGCAACTACATGGATGGAACTAGAGGGTATTATGCTAAGTAAAATTAGAGAACGCCAAATATCATACGACTGCACTCATAGGACTTTAAGACACAGAACAGATGAACACAAGGGAAGGAAAGCAAAAATAATATAAAAACAGGGAGGGGGACAAAAACATAAGAGACTCTTAAATATGGAGAACAGAGGGTTACTGGAGGGTTGTGGGAGGGGGATGGGCTAAATGGGTAAGGGGCATTAAGGAATCTACTCCTGAAATCATTGTTGCACCATATGCTAACTAACTTGGATGTAAATTTAAAAAATAAATTAAATTAAAAAAAATAAAGAAATGTTTTCTGATCAATTTGCAAAACTTAAAGACTTTTTAAAGAGAATCAGTTAGTTAAATATACATAAATATATAATTTTCCCCCAAACACATATCGAAGTAGAAAAAAAAAACAAACAACACACCCAGAGACTCTAGATGTCAAGCAAACATAGAGACCTAATCCAATTCAACCATTGCTGTCTCCTGGCCACGAAGAGCCCAGTGTCTGGGAATATTCATTTTGGGGCCAAAGTTTGTGAATGGGTGGAGTCCCTGGTCAGCCACCTGCAGGACCTTGGGAGTTTCACTTTCTTCTCCTCGCTTCAGTCTTCCCATCTGTGTAGTGGGCATAGAGCCCCTAGGGAATCTGTACCCTCCCAGCTACAGTGTCCTCCAGCCTGGCCTGTGGGAAGTGTTCTAACCCTTCCTCAGCTTCCCCAAACCAGGCCCTATCCCAGGGAGCCACCCCAAGTCTCCTCTGTCCCCAGTCCCTGCGGCTGAATTCAATTCCTTATTACGCATCATTCAATGCCTGCTACATCCTGGGAGGACCAGAAGTCATAGCTTTTCCCCAAACTTGTCCTCCATCTTCTCTCCCCAGGAATGACACCACCACACCTACCCAGACACCCAAGCAAGAACCTGGACGACCTCCTGGACCTCCCTACCCTTCCCCACCACACCACTCCACCCCTTCCTTGTGGGATTCTCTCTCTGCCACCCCACCCCGAGGGTCTCAGCCTTCTTCTCATATCCCTCACCTCCTGCTGGCCCTCAGTGTAAGGGTCCAAGGCCCTGGCTGAGGCCTGGGAGGCTACCCCTTCCTGTGATGCCACTCTGCCCCTGGCCAGAGCAGGGCTTGTGAATAACTGGATGTTCCCCCAGCCCCCTCACCTCTGGGCCTCTGCCCATGCTCTTCCCCCTGCCTGGTTGGCCTTTGTCCCCCACGGTCATCAGGTAGTTCTCGCTTTAAGGCCCATGTGATTTATATACCGCCCTGACTTTCCAAGCCAGGATGAGCAACTCTGCCGTGTGCTCCAAGGCACCTGGAGCCCACCCTCTGACTTTTCCTCTGAAGGAGTATTTACTCATCCTCAGAATGCTTCCCCTGCTTCACCCTCTTGTCCTGGATGAGGTTTAACCCTCTTTCAGGGGTCGCTTCCTCCAGAGAGCCTTCCTTGATCTCCCAGAGTGGGTCGGCAACTGCTCTGGGTTCCTAGAGCCCTCTGTATTCCTGACATTAAGGCGCATGCCCGATTATCAAATGGGATCTCATCAGTGAGGCAGTCTAGCTCATCAGACTGGGAGCTCCTGGAGGGAATGAACCTATCTATATCCAGAGAAACACTGAGGCATTGTTTGTTGATTGAAACTTGGGATGCAGCCCTGAATTCAAGGCCCGACTCTGCATCAAATGCAATGTCCCTCCAACTAGCTGCCCTGCAGCTGCGGCCGGCCACCCACCCTCCCCACCAAAAGAAAATGGGCTCCAGCTGGAGAGGCCCCGCTCTGCCCGCTTTCCTGGAGTTGGGCCAGCCTCAGCCCCCAGGCTGTACCTGGCCCTGCTACCTCTGGCATCAGCTCTTCTGCCAAATGAGCAGGTGAAAATTCAAACGGCTTCCAGGATGGGTGCTGGGGCCAGGAGCGGAGGCTGGATGACAGAGGAGGGTCCAGAACATGCAGGGAACCAGCTCACAAGGACCCCACCTCCCTTTGCCTACCTGGCTTTTCAGACTCAGACAGCCCAGATGACCCCACTGCGGAGGTCAAGGATGCTGAAGAGGTGGAGGTGTCACTGGAGGCAATGCTCCCAGGAGCCATTGCACGGGTAGATGCAGACACAGATGCAGGTAGTTGACCCCCTCCCCAGGCATGAGGCTGCCAGGCCTGCCCACTCCTCTTATATATCCACAGCCTGGCCCCACCACTCCAATTAGCCCCTGATTGGGCTGGGAGGCTCTGAGCTGCTGATTGGGGCAGGAGGGCTGGGATGGGGCATTGCAACCCTGCCTGTGTGCCGACACCCCAGCTGAGCCACCCACTCCTGGGTGACCTCATATGAGTCAGTTGACTTCTCTGCGTCTCAGGTCCCATGGCAAAATGATGGGTGCTCAGATGCTTGATCCCTCCTGCACCCTCTGACTCCACGGGGCCTGGAGATGCTGATGGGGAACTGGGCACACCTGGGTTGGGGAGGTGACCACTGAGGCCTCCAATCCCACCTGCCCCAGGGCTGCTCCTGTTCCCAGGCCACTGCTGGCCTTGGTTTCTCAAGAAGTTGGAGGCCCACTGGTGGGGTTTGCCTGGAGCTGACACCCCCAAATCAACCTGTGGCCTCCTTTTGTTTTGTTTTATTTTGTTTTGTTTTATAAGAAAGAATTTTTAAGGGCTGAATGAGCAATTTTTAAATAAAATTGCCTAGCAAGTCTCCAGAAATAAGGATAACCATTGATAAAATGGACAAAGAATATGAATAGGCAATTCACCGGAAAGGCTGATAATAAACCCAAGAAAATATTCTCGACCTCCTTGGCATTCAGGAAAATTCAAATTGAAACAATGATGAGATACTAGCTCCCCATCAAATTGACTAAAATTGAAGACAGCGTAGGCAAGGATGCAGGGAGCCTGGCCCTCAGTGCCTCTGCTAAGGGTGTAAATTGGGGTGCAGTCTGCTTTGGAAAGGTATTCCCTTGAACTCAGCAATTGCACATCTCTGTCCTAGAAGTGCAGTAGTCAGAAAAGAAACAATTGCTACATTATTTAGAAAAGAAAAAAAAAAGAGAGAACTTCCACATGAATCACTGGAGGCTTGACTGAACTACTCCCTTCTGCAGAAAACTCTGCAGCCATTTGAAATGATGAGGTGAATTAAAACAAGGATGAGGTGGTTATTGCACACCTGGTAGAATGACAGATATTTAAATTAGATCTATAGATGCTGAGTGTCCAGCACATGAAGAAACACATAGCCACTGGGAGGGTAAGCTGGTAGCCACTCTAGAAAGCAATGCAGTGACATCGAACATAACTAAAGATAGATTCACACCCCCCCCATGGCACTGTGGGTATAAATCTGAGAGAAACCCTTACACCAATAAAGATCCTCGCTGCAATCCCAGCAAAAATTCAAAACAACCTAACTACCCACCAAAAGAAAGGCAGACAAGTAAACTGTGGTCTAGTCACATGGTGGAGTAGTATAGAGCACTGAAAATGAACGAACCAGAGGGGCTCCTGACTGGCTCAGTCAGTGGAGCATATGCAACTTGTGATCTCAGGGTTGTGAGTCTGAGCTCCATATTGGGCATAGAGACAGAAGGAAAGAAGAAAATACATAAATAAATAGATGAATGAATGAATGAAAATGAACCACAATGTGTCCGTGGAATATGCGCTCCCTTTCTGAGAAGAAAGAATTTGTGTCTGTGCAAGTATATGTGTGTGTGTGAGTGTGCATGCAAGTGAAGGCATAGAAGAAGGTCTGAAAGGATTCACACCAAGGTAATAGCTTTGGTTACCTCTGAGGAGGGTGTAGGAGTTGGAGGGACAGGTTTAAAACAAACTTCCATTCTTCCTTCCTTCCTTCCTTCCTTCCTTCCTTCCTTCCTTCCTTCCTTCCTTCCTTTGTTGTTGGGATTTTTCCAGGGACTCTCCAGCACCAGAGTCTGGATTGAGGGAGGTGATGGCCATCAAAGTGTTCTAAAGTGAAATCAGAGATCACTCCTCTCCTGCCTAGCACCCTTCATAGCTCCCTACTGTCTGTGTGTGGAGGCTTGACCTCTTTTGTCCTGCTTATGGAGCCCCTTTCTCCCTAGAGGCCCACAGTCCAACCTCTGTGACTCTTGGAATGGGCTAGATGTTGAGAGCTGGGCTTTCTTCTGTGTTTCCTTTGTGTGTGTGTTAGATGGATGCAAAAATGTCCCCAATTTCTCACCCGTGCCCATATCCATGTCCATTTGCATGCAACTTTGCAGCTCCTCTCACACTCTTTAAATATGAGCTGGCCTTGTGACTTGCTTTGACCAACAGGATACGGTGGAAGTGATGCCATGGCAGTCCCAATCCTGGCTAGCCCACTGGAGCTCAGAGGTTCGCAGCTCAGTCACCCCTGCCACCCAGCCCACAGCTGGTCAAACGGCCAAACCTCCAGTTGACCACGGATGCTTTAGAGATCTGCAGAGATCAACCAAGTTGAGTCCAGATCAGCAGAACCACCTGGCTGACTCACAGTCACAAACAACAATGGTGTGTTGTTTTAAAACATGAGGTTTGGGGTTGTTTGTCGTGCAGCATAAGCTAACTGATCCACTGCTTAGAAGGCCCTTCTTTACCCCCCACCTACCTTCTCTGGACTGTTTCCCACTCATCGTTTTGGCCTCAGTGTAGCTCAGAAAAGCCCTCGCTGACCCCTTAGGAGGTTAGGGTCCTCTCCTCTGGCTCCAGCAGCCCCTGGGACCTCCAGCACCCTAAGTTCCCACTCGTCCACACTAGCCCCTGAGCTCTGAAGGGCCCTGGGGGTAGGCAGGGCTGTGTTCGACTTGTTCTGGTGGTATCTCTGGTGCATAGCACAGTGCCTGGCACACAGTAGGGGCTCAGCACCCATTGCTGTGGAACCCCAGTGCCAGAGCCCAGCCTGGCTGAATGAAGGGAGACCTGAGAACCATCTGCAGGAACCACGTTAGAGCGGGAGGCGAGATGAGGCAGAGAGGCACATGGTGCTGGCACACACAGGGGCAGCAATTTTGATCACATTGTGGGAAATTTCCAAGAATTGAGAAATAGAGAAAAACTTGGAGATACAAACATTCCCATGAGCTTCATGTGAAACCCTGCTCCCAGGCTGTGCCAGGATAGAGTTTTGCATTTGGAGGGGAAGAAGTTCTAAAATGCACTGCAGATCTAAAAATTCTTCTAGAGCATTGCCTTTTTACAGGGAAATGATAACTGTATCATCAGATGCTGGAGAGAGGGCGGGCTGCTTGGTGTACTTATTTGACGCTTATTGAGGTCTGTAGGGAATTTAAATTTCTGCTGACAACTGTTTTACCATCTTTGAACATTGAATGGGGGCGTCCTACATGTGAACTTTCTCATAGGTCTGAAGATTACATTCTAAACTTTTTGAAGCAGTGATAGGGTGTCTTGTTTTGTGTAACTCTAGCCCCTGTAGCATCAGGACATTTGTGACATTAGTCAACAAATGCATAGAGGGCAGGGTAGATATGGTAATAGCTGCCACGTTCTACGTCCATGTACATATTTTATATTCGCTATCTTATTTATACATGAAGACACTAAAGTTCAGAAAGGACCTGTACTAAATCTTCCTGAGTCCGGACCCTAGGCTGCAACATGGAAGCCCTCTGTGTTAGTGAGGAAACCAGCTATAATTCCAAAATAACAGTGGCTTAAACGAGAAACCATGAAGTCATTCTCTCATGAGACTCTTCAAGTGCAAGTTGTGCAGGACAGGAAGGCAGCATAGAGAACCTGCAGTCTCCTTCTCGCCTGATGCTGTGCTGTTCTCTGCCCACGGACTGCACCTCATGATACAAGATAGCTGCTGCAGCTCTGGTCATCACGACCACATTCCAGCCATCAGACAGGAAAGAAGAGAAGTGAAGGATGCCTCCATTCTCTGAAATGCACAACCCAAAACTTCATATACTACTTCTGATTATACTTCACTGGCCAGACCTTAATGTCATGCCACTGCAGATGCAAAGGAAACTGGGAGGTGCAGTCCTGCACTGGGTAGCTAGGTGCCCAGCTAGAACTTGATGTGATATTATTAAAAGGAAGAAAGGGAATAAATATTGGGGGCAGTTAGCACTTGCTTCCCCCTTTCCTGAGGCCCCTTTGCTACTTTAATTTCTTGACTCTCACACCAGGGGCTCTATCTCCTACCACTCCAGGGGCTGCTCCTTTGAACTTGATTCACATTTTTGGGAAGGAAACTCCTATTTATTGAGTGTCTACTGTGCACTGCAATTTTTATAGCAACAATCTCGTTAGTCTGTGGACAATTCTACCAACTGAGATGAGTCTCCTCTTTCAAGCTCAGAGGCCTGAGACCTAGTGAGGTTCAGGAACATGGTGTGAGGTTGCAGGGCTGAGAAGGGCATGCACTGTCTCTCTGGGGCCACCCTGGGACGTCAGGGGTACATGTGCCTACTGGGGGACATGGGGCAGATTGCCATCAGGCTTTGCTGTCTCTGTGGTGGTATGGGGGTGGGAGGCTTAGTTCATACTCTCTTCTCCCAGAGGTAAGATCAGGGGTGAGAGAGCTCTGTGTCCCTGTGGCTGGCCAGGCCACAGCCCAGAGACTTGCTACCTGCAACCCATCTCTGAGTCCCCAGCTCATCCTGGCCTGGGGTCAGCTTCCTAAGATCAGGCTGACTATAGATGTGATTGTATATAAGAGGTGCTCCATAAACCTGTTGGCTACCTGGAGCTTGGAGATGAGGTGGGTAACACCCTCAACCAAACCTAAGTCAGCACTGCCTTGCCTTTATTGGCAAATGTCCCCAAGTGCCTGTCAAATCGGTTATAAATTAAGGAGGGAAAGAGGTTTTCCCCTCTACCATGAAAAAACAGAGACTTCTGGCTAGAGAGTTAATTTTTTCCTCTGAATATGTAGCTAAAACAAGGATACCACTCCTCAGAATAAGTGGACTGAGGTGGGGCAGTGAGGAAAGAGGGCTGCCTGCAAAGCAAGCATGTCTCTCCCATGGCCATGCCTGGCCCAACACATCAGAAATGGAGAGTGAGATGTGCGGGACCCACCATGGGAATCTTCTCCCCTGGGTCCCCAGTGTGGGAGGGAAGCCTGGTGTAGCTGGACATCACCTACTTAGACAGAGGCCAGCCCCTCTGGGCCACCGTTAGTTCTGCCCACCCTGTCTCTGGGCCTCTTCCTTTTGGTAACGACAC